ATAAGATTTAGAATTTGTTGAATTTATATTGCGAAATAGGATTTGAAAATGTTTTGGGGGTTTGAAAATTGTGGATAATTTAGTAAGGTTTTACATAGTATGGTGAACCTCAGTGCAGGGCACGAATTCGGCGTGGATAAAAGAAGCTAACATCGAATAATCGATAGGGGGTTCTCATGAGTTTTAATAAAAAGAAGCTTTTTTTGTCTCATTAGTACTGGAAACATTTCTGTATTTTATAGTACGTGCGCGTCAAAGACGTACAACGTGTATTTTAGGTTCCGCCATCGCAAAAATTGGCGGTGCTGTATGTGATGGACTCGGTGCTGAAGAATGTCACGGCTGCGGGCAATTACAAGGAGCACATCGAGAAGACAATCCATCAGGTGTTCGTGCATGTCTTCGAAATGGTTAGTTCATCGATCGTTTTGCGCACGGCAGGAGTACCACACGAAAAACTTTTCGCCTGGGAATTTAGGCACAGCCCTGTGGTACAACTTTCATCCATTAGTGGATGGATTAGTAGTTTTAAAATGCTTGGATTGGTTTTCTGTTTGTTGCAGGGTGACGAGAGGACACGTTCGGCGCTTCACAAACTGCGACAGACGTGGACCGGCATATTCCAGCGATCGACGCTGTACAAGATCGATTTGGCGGTGCATGCCATTGATCCGGCTTGGCCAGTTGTCACACCGCAGCCTATCAGTGCTGCAGCAGCATCATCTGCGCCGCCACAACAGCAGCAGCAGGTGTCGCAACCGCAGCAGCAGCAGCAGCATCCGCGAGCGTCACCCAAAGTTCATGTAAATCCACATTTTTTCCAGAAAACTGTTGCATCAACAGCAAATGCGACCACTTCTGGTGCTGCAGCGCCAGGAGCAGCAGCAGCAGCAGCAGCAGCTTCTGCCTCCAAGTCCTCCTCTTCTGCTTCTACTGCTTCTACTACTACTACTGCTGGTGACAGCAAATTGGTACTACTTCATTTTATACACTGTTTCTTGAATACACACTTCTCGCGCACTTACCATTTTGTGTATCGTTGTAAATTTTTTCTGTTTTCGTTACTATTATTATTATCGTTGTTGCGGTGATGACAACGGTTCTGTGTGGAACTGCATAGAACAACGCAATAAATTGTACTACGGGTGTTGCATACATTTCATAGTTTGTCTCCGTCCGCTCCGCCACCCTCCTCCTCTCCCCTCCCTCCTTCTTGGCTGTGCTCCGGGGAATTGGAACGGCGGAGGGGCACTAGGCTTGCACACCCCCACAGAATTGTTCTTTTTCAGCAGACTGTAGTTATCCACTGAACGCCTTCTAACTGCGTCTTCGGAGAATAATTTGTGTACTTTGACATTCGCCAATTTGTTGTTCTGGAAAGCAGTCGACGGGGCGAACGAGACTTCACCTTTTCTGCCGAATATTCGTCCTCCCGGGACTAGGGCCATCTCGAGGTTCCTCCATATCGAGTCACGGAATGGTGCCTGCCCTGAGAACTGGGGGGAAGAAATGAGGAATTTGTGGAAATACCTTCGGCAGTTGTGTTGTCGTCGGTCGTCTGTCGCCTGTTGCTTTCAGAATTAGTTCCGCCTGAAAACGCGTGAGTTTGTCTGCACGGCGATGTCGGTCCAGGGAGTTCGTAACGTTTTTTTTTTTTTATCTTTTTCAATTTTTTTGCAATTCAGCTTTGATTATGAAGGTTTTTAGCTTTTTGTATTTTTCAGCTTCTGTTGTTTGCGTGGATGTGCGTGTGTGTGTTCATTTAGGAAGGGAGGAGGGGGGAGGGTTCCGTGTGTGAGGTTGATTGTTATTTGTTTATCAGATGAGAACGGGGAGATCAGGAGAGGGGGGAGGTTTGGCGAGTGTAGTGTTTGTGTGCCTAATGGTTTTCTTTCAGCACCAGTTCACCGTGCTTATGCATAAGCCAGGTCCCGATCCGAGATTGAAGCAGGTTCAGCCGACCGCAGCCTCTGCGACGGCTAACAACAGAGCAGCGTCACACAGGATGGAGCGTGTGGTCGTCAAGCAAGAGCCAATGTAATTTCGTTTTTTTTTTTTTTTTTTTTTCGTTTTGCATATTTATGCAAATGCTGAAACGAACATTGATAAGAAGCTTGTATGTGTGTGTACGTGGGTGTGTGGATGTGTGAGGATGTGTGGGTGTGTGTCTGTGTATCCCGAGTGCATTTTATTAATTATTGTTTTACGAATGCGAAATGTAGACACTGGTAAAATAGAAGGCCAAATGCTAGATGTAGAGGGGGAAATAGTGGAGCGATTCAATCTTGGCGCGTCTTTTCGTGGTTACATGCGCGTGACTCTCCACCGGAGGAGCACAGTGCAGGATATCATTGTAACCATGCGAGAAATTAAAATGCGGCAGTCAGAGCATATTGCTCACTTACTGATAATAGGTGATCATGACGTATTAGTAAGTGGCATCTGTGAGAAAACCAGAGCTCACTTGACCAGCCACTGCAGAAACGTGCATGTGTAGTAAACGGTGGAGTCTCTCTGAAGGTGCACAAAAAAAATCAAATTACAACTAACATACCATCGAAGTTCGTGTAATGGCAATTGATACAAATAAACACTCAGCGTTGCTTGTATAGTGCTTGAGTAACGCACAATTCCCATTGGTGCCCGCTCACCTTTGCAAGTAACGACCGTTTCTAGGTGCAGTACTTGAGCATTTGCTGTGTCTTATTTGTACTGGCAAGCTATTGTTGCACGAAATCCAAGTAACGCCTGGAAGTTTTCAGGTGGTATAGCCCGAACACTCATGTAACGAGCGGGCGGTGTTGGGCGGGGCTATCGCATTGGATCGTACAGGAAAAATGTGGATATAAAGGGAGGAGAGAGAGTGCGTGTGCAACGAGAGGGGAGGGGGGCCTGTCCGGGATTTGTAGTTGAGGCGCTCTACATGGGTACAGCTTAAGACATATTATCTGTAATCTGATTTTTTCGTGTATGCATATTATCAGCATCAGAAGTATGGTGTGTCTTTAGTAGCGATTTTGACTACTGATCTTCCACATCGGCTGTGCAGATGATCTTGGATTACTTGTGTAATAGGTTGTGTATTGGTTGCAGGGATGATGTGGATGAAAGATTTCGCACTCAACCCAGCAATAATGTGTTTGACGGTGCACCAGCAATACGCTCATTTGTGCGAAGGTATTTTCTTTATACGATTTCATTTCTTTCTGGATATTTAACACATATCATCGTGATGATGGATAAAAGGTGTTCCAATTCATTCACTGTACTTATTAAAAGTTTTTTGCTGCTGTCTGTTATACTGCACCATCAGAAAGAAACACAGAGCAGACAGAGAGAAAGTGTGCCGCGCGTTACGATCTGTGCTGCCTTCCTCCACAACCTCTGAAAAAAAAAGGAAAAAAGTGAAGTGGAGAAAAGAAAAAAAAGAAATTGAAAAAAAAAAGAAAAAATTAAAAAAATTGTTCAAAAAATGAAAAAAACAGAAAAAAGCAACGAATAAGCAGCCAGGTTCTGCGTACATCGTGTTATTCTCTGCCGCTTTGTATTTGTGATTCGAATTTGTTTCCC